AATAATAAAGCAGTCTTTAAAAAATAAGTTTAATAATTTGAACATTCTATGGGCATTTATAATTGTTGACCAGTGGTGGGTTCCGGATCCCGTTGCAAGCGCTACAGTGTATTGGGGCCCAGCATCCACATGAATGCGCGCAGCACGCGCATGCATCCTACCCTCCAGCAACGCCTCCATGACGCTCCAGCTGCTCAGTGGAACGTTGCGCAGGCGCCGTACACACCGTGCATGTGTGCAGAAGCGCTGAAGAATTCAAATATAGGTAAGGACGACGGGCGGGTGGGTTGCTGCAAAGAGGTAAATTGCTAGAAGGCAGAGGCCAAAGGGTTGGGTGGGTGGGGCTACATTCAGTGTATAAGACGCACCTACAATTTCACCCTCTTTTTGGGGGGCAAAGGTGCGTCTTATGCGCCAAAAATGCGGTACTTCTGCTGACTGCCGACTGCCAGCAGTTTGGCAGTTAGATTCTCACCAGCTCAAGGCTGACTCAGGTTTCCATCCTTTCGAGGTTGGTAAAATGAGGACCCAGATTGTTGGGGGCAGTATACTGACTCTCCAAATTGTTGAGAGAGAACTGTAAAGCACCGTACAGCACTGTACATCTAACTGCTATTGCTGTTTTGGAAGTTTTCCACAATACATAAATCAATTTCTAGAAAGAACAGTCAACCTGCACCTTCCAGAAGCATTGAATGATGGCACCTATAATTCCCAGTATAGGAAGGGATGATCTGGGGAGGAATATTATGATAGCTGCAATCCCTCATTACTGGAGGGAAGATTAGCCATTCTATCATGACCCAGAGACCATCTAGTGAGCTGTGCCACCAGGACACCTCCAGTTCTTTGTCCCCACCTGGACTGGGCCATCTTCTCCTGGAAAAACTCAGTGCAGAAAATCACAAGAATGGGACTGATGCAACTGTGGGCATAGCTGAGACAAATAGTAGCTTGGTACAAGTAGAAGAAGGTTGCTGAAGGAGCGGCTGTCAGATTAACCAGCTGCAGCACATGATAGGGTGTCCAGCAAATGAAGAAGGCCACGATGATTGTGAGCGCCATGCGAGTCACCTTCTGGCTGCGGGCGGATGCCTTCCGATGCACACGGCGCATGGCACGGAATAGATGTTGCAGAGTCAAAGAATACAAGACCGTAATGACCAGCAAAGGCAGGAGGAATGCTATGAAGGATTGATAGAGGGTGTACCAGTATACGCTATGGGGGCCTGGCAAGTCTATAAGGCAGATCTCCGTCTTGTTGTCCCAAAATATCCGGGTGTACAGCATAGCGGGAGTAGCCAGGATCAAGCTTCCAACCCATATGCCAACATTGATCATCGCTGTGCAACGCAAGTTCCGCCTCTGGGCAATGGTAGATGAGTACACCACGGCTACGTATCTGGAGAGGAGACATGAAGGCTCATCACTTATAGAAAACACAACTAAATATATACTACAAACATATAGATGGTATAAGAAAACTCATCCTTTGTGATTACCTGCATGCCTACATGCATTTTCTACAGGGCAGTTCATGAGACCAAAGTTGGAGATAGCAGAGAGTTGTAAGGGTTGAGAAACTGGTCTAGAGGCCTGCTTGAGTTCCGGATTCAATCTCTGATATTTTCAAATAAAGCTGGGGAAATGCTTATATAAAACCCTGGGGATTCGTTGTCTAGTTTTGAAATAGACAATTACCAGCCAAAACTTCCAAGAGAAAACAATGGTAATGTCAGCGTTTCCAAGTATCATGCAGAATTAAATCAGAGTCCAAGGCAAAACGATCCTTAAAGTTCCAATTTAATAAGTCAGA